GAATCCCCGTCACACTAAACATGATCTCCCTTTCAGCCGTTGGGGCGATATAATGCGACGGTCAATCCCACTATTCGTTGGTAAAAGAGTAGCTAAAGAGTTGCCTTCCTTCTAGTCTCACAGTGCTAAATTAGGGACGGCAACCTGAGGGTCGCGGGTTCGAATCCCCGTCACACTAAACATGATCTCCCTTTCAGCCGTTGGAGCGATATAATGCGACGGTCAATCCCACTATTCGTTGGTAAAAGAGTAGCTAAAGAGTTGCCTTCCCTCTAGTCTCACAGTGCTAAATTAGGGACGGCAACCTGAGGGTCGCGGGTTCGAATCCCCGTAACACCACACATGCTCGCCCTTGGGGCGTTAAAATGTGACGGTCAATCCTACTATTCGTTGGTAAAAGAGTAGCCGAAGAGTTGCCTTCCCTCTAGTCTCACAGTGCTAAATTAGGGACGGCAACCTGAGGGTCGCGGGTTCGAATCCCCGTAACACCACACATGATCGCCCTTGGGGCGTTATAATGTGACGGTCAATCCTACTATTCGTTGGTAAAAGAGTAGCCGAAGAGTTGCCTTCTCTCTAGTCTTTCACTGCTAAATTAGGGATGGCTAGCGTAGATAGCCCTCGTGTAGCTTTGCGCGAAATTCAAAACAAACAAATCTTCAAATGTACATGAAATTACTTGTTCGAAGAGGCACCTGGCACCTGCTTCGATACTCATAGAGTATTTAATATTTTAAATAACCGGTTCAACTGCTAACCTAACAAGGCATGAGAGTGGACTAAAATACCACTATCCTGACGTCTACAACTCAGTTAAAAAAACACTATCCTGAAGTATACAAACCAGTTAAAATACCACTATCGTACAGTATACAACCCAATTAAAAAAACACTATCCTGAGGTATACAAACCATACCACTATCGTAAGGTATACAACCCAATTAAAAAAACACTATCCTGAGGTATACAAACCAGTTAAAATGCCACTGTCATAAGGTATACAACCCAATTAAAAAAACACTATCCTAAGGTATACAAACCAGTTAAAACTCCACTATCATGAGGTATAAAACCCAATTAAAAAACACTATCCTAAGGTATACAAATCAGTTAAAATACCACTATCGTAAGGTATGAAACCCAATTAAAAAAACACTATCCTAAGGTATACAAACCAGTTAAAATGCCACTATCATAAGGTATACAACCCAATTAAAAAAACACTATCCTGAGGTATACAAACCAGTTAAAATACCACTATCATAAGGTATACAACTCAATTTAAAAAACACTTTCTAAAGGTATGCAAACCAGTTAAAATGCCACTATCATAAGGTATACAACCCAATTAAAAAACACTATCCTAAGGTATACAAACCAGTTAAAATACCACTATCGTAAGGTATAAAACCCAATTAAAAAACACTATCCTAAGGTATACAAACCAGTTAAAATGCCACTATCATAAGGTATAAAACCCAATTAAAAAAAACACTATCCTAAGGTATACAAAAACACTATCCTGAGGTATACAACCCAATTAAAAAACACTATCCTGAGGTATACAACCCAATTAAAAAAACACTATCCTAAGGTATACGAACCAGTTAAAATACCACTATCATAAGAAGACATACGAACCGTTTAAAAGATCACCCACTAGCACAGGTGCTGAAAATATAACATGATAATACTCTGACGAACTTGTTTTATCACTAGTCCGAGAATTCATTTTTTATCTAATAGAAACAAAGTTCAGTGTTATTTGCTGGGAATAGTCGAAACCTTGTTATACAGAAAGTATTAATCATAACTTAATACTTTGTCAAGTTTATTTTCTAAATTGAAGATTGCATTTTTAAAAAGTTTTTTTTTTTTACCACCATACTCTTATGATGCTCTATGTTTAGTGCCTGTTTCCTTTTCCACGGCATTAAAAATTCTAAGTTTAGAATCACAATATTTTGTATTACTATTTTTTTTTATGAAAACGTAGCCTAAAATTATCTATTTATAATCAACATGCGATGCAGTAATCCTTATTGGAAACAATAAGCTTCTGAGATTGTGTTTTATGTTATTCTTTTTGAACATTAGGTTACATTACTGATAATCAGCGCACTCTAAAAAATACGCCAGCTACCGTTTTAAGTACTCATGCGCGCCATCTACAGAAAATAGTAAAACAGGTTTCTCAGAGATCCGTTAGTTTCTGGCTGTCAGTCGGTTTTCGTTTCCGACATTAAAGTTAACACATGAGGTTGGCTTCCTGCCAACATATACACGCGAGAAATTGTCAGGTGACTCTCATATTTTTCAGTTGTGTATAGTTAGCTTTGACTCGAGGTTTGAAACTGCAGCATTCAATATCTAAAGAGTCGTTAGAAAGATATCTGCAACTAATCGAACCACTAAACCCAGTAGAACGGTGAACTGCATTTCTTTATCCCGCCATGGAGCACGCGCGTCCCTACCGCTTTCACTCAGACACCGATGGTTTGGAGGCTCTGTGCCGTGACACGAAATTTTCTCGCCGAGAAATTCAGCTAATGTATCGCAGTTTCAAACAAGTAAGTAATGTATTATGTCGGGATCAAAAACTTTTCAATAAAACTCTTGAAGTATTCAAAGAATATAGAAGTTTTAAGGTGTTATGTTGATAAACAACCGAGATTTAATGCTGATTATAGCTTCAACATTAGTTTCATCCCACAACACGTGAAAGGCTATTGTTTTTACTTATATCTGTCGTAGTTATTGGAAAGTAAATTTATGTTTAAATAATTGTTGCTAACATTTGATGATGGTACTTACAACTCTATTATTTGAGTTCGTTAACTTTTTCAGATGAAGAATAGAATAGATACAGCATGAATACAAAATAAACACGAGGGAATTCTCAATAGCCGCGGTACTTGAAATTCTTTTAGGCAGGATTAGAGTACGTTCATCTATGAGACCTTGGGCGTGGTCAAATACATCAATCGAAAGGGTTTGACCTCCTGAGTTTAAAGCTATAATTAGATCTCAAATTAGTCAAGAGATGACGGAGTTATGAGCTAAAAGTTTGTACTTGAGAAAAAAAGAAAAGAAACTCAAAGCCGTTCTATGAACAGCTATGCCGCGGCAAAAAATACTTGCACATTGACAAATTCATGTGTACAGCACTGAGTAACAGGTATTGTAAAGATTAACAGCTTTATAGCCCTTCTATGAGGCGCTATGCCGCGGCTAAAAATAGTTACATGTATTAAGCAGATATTAACATTCTTTCTAGATTTGTTGTTAAGCACAAAGTTACACAATAGGTTATCTGTACTTTGCTCACAGAAGAAATCGAACCCAAATTTCAATGGTATAAGCCCTCAAGCTTGCCACTGAGACATCCAGGGACATATGGTTAAGATGAGCTACAGGTACAAGGTTTCACTTTTATTCAAGACATATAAATGTTAAATTGTTTATCGTAATGAAAACATTTTCAGTTTCAAGATTATGAAATTTCTTCTAAACGTAACAGTTCTTAAAAGGTGCCAAAGCTGGAGTGATTTTTAATAGCCATGGAAAATTACATCAAGAAACGCCCCTCAATGGTACAGCGGTATGTCTGCGGACTTACAACACTAGAAACCGGGTTTCGATACCCGTGGTGAACAGAGCACAGATAGCCCATTGTGTAGTTTTGTGTTTAATTCCAAAGAAACAGTGCCCGGCATGGCCAGGTGGATAAAGCGCTCGACTCGCAATCTGAGGGTCGCGGGTTCGAATCCCCGTCCCACCAAACATGCTCGCCCTTTCAGCCGTGGGGGCGTTATAATGTAACGGCCAATCTCACTATTCGTTGGTAAAAGAGTAGCCCAAGAGTTGGCGGTGGGTGGTGATGACTAGCTGCCTTCCCTCTAGTCTTTCACTGCTAAATTAGGGACGGCTAGCGCAGATAGCTCTCGTGTAGCTTTGCGCGAAATTCAAAAACAAAAACAAACCAAAGAAAGAAAACATAAAGAAAGAAAAAATGTA